CGATCAGTAAATCATTTCAGTGTAATCGAACTACATCTGAACGATAATTTTCGTGAGCCGGCTCAACAAATAAATAACAGTAATAAATAATTAACAAGCTGTATGTTTACTGCGCTCTGCTTATGTTCAAAAATAATGGCCAATGTTGAAGCTGAAAGGCGAAATGTTAATTAACAGAGCATATGTGCATGAACAACATATTAGTTTTATGAATTGCCATGAGATTATGCATAAACAAATTTAGTTCACTGCTCTATAAACTATGCACAGGTATTGTTATTAATTATATATTTCGTGTATCATTTTTTTTTACTACACACTAAATCTTTTTTTTTTTTAAGGGGGCTGCACTCACCTCTAACATTAAATGTAAGTTACTAAACTTTTGGTTTAATTGTCAGTGTGTGTGTGTAGAGAGAGAGATTTAGAAAGCGCAGCAGCAGCAAAGTACACACACACACATACAGATGTACATTGTATTGATAGTAGAAAATGTAGTAGTAGTAGTAGTAGTATTTGTATTTAGTTGAGCTTCGCTGTTGTATTTTTATTTTTTCTTGATTTTTTAATTTATTTTGTGTTATTTTTTTTTTTTCAACCCTAAACCATTTCTACAAATTTTTTAGCTACTTAAAAAAATTTTTAGCTGCCAATTTGCGCTTGTGTTTAGCTAAGAGTTTATCGAAAAAATATAATAGATCAAAAAGTAAGTTAACAATTTTGAATTACAATTTGCCAAATTTTTTGTTGAGAAAATAAAACAATCAAAGAAATTAATCAACGAAATCATTTACTAAATACAAAATAAAACTGCAGCTGTATAGAAATGTTATCACGGGAAGTAGAATTTAACTAGTAATAGTTTTTTGTTGTTATTTTAGTTTGGCAAAAATCAAAATCAAATTCACTTTATGCACGTCGTACAACAGGTGAGTCCTTTAAATAACAGACAGAATAACAAACAGTGTGGCGGCAAATAGACAGGGTTGGTAATTTAACAGAATGTTGTATAACAGAAGAATCGTTTACAGAAAGGAAGTCGAAACTGTATCAAGTGCTACGAGTACTTTTTTGTTAACTTTTTAATTATTAAAAATATGTTATGAAGTTGTCGTAATTGGTTTTTTGTTTGTGTGTGTGTATTGAAGTTTTCGTAGTAGAGGCAACAAAAATAAATAAAAGGAAAATAGCATATAAGTAAAATTAAAGGTTAGAATAAAATACATAAGATTAAGTCTAATTAAATA